ATAGAATAAGATTGGCTCTTTTTCTATCATAATTAAGATGCATGCTCTCATTTAGTAAAAATAGTACTGCATTATCATTTTTATGCTTGGTTCCTGATATTTAAGAAGTTAGTAACAAAGTCGTTTTGGGCTAGTTAATGAGCTTGAACAAAACAGAACAACTTCCAGCAAGACAAAGCAATAAATTACTTGATTCTATAGTAAATCAGACAAATGAAAACTTTATATGAGAGTGCTAATGCGACTTGGAACAAGTAGTACTGATATGAGGCAGTGTCTAAGGCAAAGTTAGCGTAGTTAAAAATGTTTAAGAAAAGAGTATTAAAAAAATAATAAACTATTAGAAATTCATATCACATCCAAAAGGTTAAACACAAAAATATGCAAAACATAGTAGAGGAAAGGTAAAAGTACCTGGGGAGTATACAAATCGGTCTTGCTTTAAAGAGTCTGAGGATGGTAATGAGAATAAAAGAGTAAAAGATAAAGGATGGCTGTTAGGATGAAAACATAAACACAATCGAGTACTTGAGAGTTAGATAGAGTAGTAGAAAAAATAAGAAGTATGCATACATATTTATATTTTTACATAAGCTGGCGACTATGATAGTTTGCGTATGACTGGCGAAGGTTGGGAAATACACATGGCCAATTTAGAAGCCTAACTTGTCTCCCAAAAAAATTTTCGTCGTTAAGTGAGATAATAAAGTGATATTGGATGCATAATACTGATCACATTCAACACCAGGCAATTAAAAAATAAAAGTCCGTTCTATAAATAGAGACGCTGATCTTTATACTCGGTAGTAGACAGATTGATAATGAAGTTAAAATAAGATTTGCAATAAGTATATACTGTAAGTAAAGGAATATTATAACTTAAAATAGCGCAAATGGTGAATGAAGTTATTCATTACTACCTGACAAACAAACTTCAACAAAAATATAATTTTCATTTTCTTTATTTCCGTCAAAATGACAAATTTTGACAAAATATGTTTAGTTAGGGTCCCAAAATATGTAATTAATTTTTTTCAGCCACAAAGCGTTTATAAAAATGCTATCTTAGTAGTTAAAACTACATATATGGTTTATTTAAAGTGAATAAAAGATGATTTAATAATTGTATATACATTTTGGCACTTTTTTATTTACGAATAATTAAAAATGTCATAATATAATAAATCTCGCCTCAACTGTGATAGGTCTTAAAGACGGATATGGACAAAAAGTGTATAGGAATAAAATCGAAATTAGAATTAGGTATAAGCAATTTAATATCGAATAGTTTACTGTCTGCTAGATGCGGCAAAGCCACTTAATTACGAGGGATTCCCAGCATACGAATTTTGCAATGTTTTTCGAAAAAACTTGACTAACCGTCACCAATAATTTGGGAAACACTGCAAGACTTGATTTTTAAAGGAAAGGAATGCAAACAGATGAGGTGCTGGAACAAAAACAGAAAAGATGCGTAATTTTCGCATTAAATTACGATTAAATGTTTGACAGAAGTTATTTTAGAGTTGGTCCCATCTTAGCAAAAGAAAACTAATTTAGTTCATCGACTGCAGCATAATAGCTCTTCAAGTATCTCACTAAATGTATCTAAGGCTTCTTTAAATGAATAATGACCGAAATCGTCAGAGTGAGATGAGGTACACAGACGGACCTCACAAAAAACAAATGATTGTCTGAAA